AAGATATGTCTGAAATTTACATTCAGATAGTTCAACAACATCACAAATGAGAAATACAGATAAAGCAAATCTGGCAAAATTATTTAATCTAGACAATGAGTACATGCTAGTATTTACTAGTAAACATGAATTTAGGATTTGATTAAGGTGACAGATATTTTAAAGGCATAACAATTCATAATCATCACTAATTCACAAACTATGCATTACATAGTTGCTACAATATAATGGTAGAGTACTTATATTTTATATTATTTATTTTTAATCATTCTAATCAATATTTAAAGACTGGTGAAAATATACATATACTCACATTGTACTTTTCATCTATTCTTTGATTAGTCTTCTTTAATTCACCAGATGGGGTCAAAGATGGTTTAAAATAAGTATTTCGGTTTGTTGCTATGGAAACCAGCTTTGGGGTTATGAGTCTCTGAACAGGGGGATACTGAGAATCCACCTGATAGGTAAACAGAAATCAAAGACATTTATTTTCATATAAATCGATATAAACATATAAATCAAGAGGAAAAATTGGTAATAGAGCCAAGGGTATGTATCTATTTATATACATGTGCACATAAAAATACACATATACATATGTATAATTCTAAAAATGGTTCCGCAGATAGACTATATTTTATTTCAGACTTAGTGACTTTTCACATACATGCACATACACGTATACACACAAAAACGGAACTATATTTAAAACAGCTCCACAAATCTAAGTTTTACAGGGTGAATTTTAAACACATGAAGTAAAATTGATTTTTGTCACATTTTCCCCAAATTAGTCTGTATTTTTTGTAGCTGCAAATAGAATATTTTTAAACTAGCTATAAAAATATTTTAATTCCTTAAGAATGTGAGCAAATCCATCTGCAAGTTGATCTCCCCCAAACCAAAAATCTTAGAAAGACTAACTGGTAAATAAATCACTGTAAGACTTTCAGATCCTTTTTTTTTTTTGAGACAGAGTCTCACTGTGTTACCCGGGCTAGAGTGCCGTGGCGTCATCCTAGCTCACAGCAACCTCAAACTCCTGGGCTCAAGCGATCCTCCTGCCTCAGCCTCCCAAGTAGCTGGG